TTTCTTTAAGCCGTACTTCCGGATTTCAAAATTGTTCTAATAAAACGGTTTCTTGCATACCTGGATCAGGCATATTCTTCAGAACACACTCTACATCTTTCTAAAAAGAATAGTAATGTTTCAAATAAAAATTACATATTAACTGATCTATTCCTGTCATCAGAGAGAACTAATGAGGCGTTCTGAGAGGGTATCTTGCTTCACCTCTGTAAGCTTGTTTTGGAGCCAGCCATACCAGTTACTTCGTTCAACATCTCCATCACCGTTTCCTGGTACGATGACAACTCTTTTTTGGCTCATTTTGGGAAAGAACAGTAATAAAATGTGTCCATACAAAGCGATTCACAACACTTCTCCTGTCGCCATCTTGCCGAGTAGGACTGTTTCCGACTGCAAAGTTCTCGTACCCAGGGTCCGTGCGATAATGAGTTTGAAGATAATTTCGACAGCTTGAATCGTACTTAGTAACTGAGATCAATAGCCGCAGGATTTTGTCGTCATAATACTCGGAAAGTTTCCCAACGCTATTAGCCAGTCAGAAATTTATTCTCCCCAGCTCGAGGGCACTCACATCATTGTTGCAGCGGAAAGAAAAATTTATTAAGGACGAAATTTTGGGCAAATAATAGGGACTTAAAGAAAGCTGACGATCGGTATGTAAAACGCGAAAAAAAACGGAACAAGGAGAGAATTTTTAATCCAGGCATCTTGACCGAAAAAGCCTAATCAATCACACACACAGAAGTGCGTTGCTGAAAATCGCTTGAGATCATTTTGCCGGGATTGACGAAAGTTAGTCATGCACCCCTAAGAGATGTTTACACTCTATCGCCGTTGTAACACTATTTTATTCTAAAAATAACGTGTTTATATTGAAGATATCAAAACATTGATGATCATCTCTCCCACCTCGTATTGTCAAGCTAAATTAACCAAGTATTAAAAAAAAAATAAATATTCACTCTTCTTCAATTCACCATCAGTCTCGGAAAAACTTTTCTCCTAAACCAGCTGATCTCGGTAAAGAATGTTCCGAAGACATCTCTGCTGGCTGAATACCAACTGGCTCAATCTACGCAGTTCAATTACTCTCAAAATTGATCGAGCCCAAGAACTATTGCAGAGCCTGAATAATTCATTGTTTACAATTTATCCATAAACTTGCAATGTTCGGTTTCAGTTAACGGATGTTTTACATCCAAAGCACAACAAGTCATTTCCAAGGTCAGACAAGAGATACAAATACACGAGGCAAATTTTTTTTTAAATGAGCTGGCCTACAAAGGACAAAATATACAAGCGGAATAGGAACTAAATCATATCTTTTTACCATGATTCGAGTCAGCTCTACAAAAGTCATTTACATTTATAGACAAGTACCTCATATTGCGCTTTAAAATCATTTTTCGGAAAAACAACAAGTTGAAGAAATTTTTTCTCAAATTCCTCACCTGTCGGTATCAGGGCGCTAAAATTAATTGGGAATCATGAGTCGTTCAGTCCAAAAATGAAATACGAGAATTTTGAAACAATTTTAAACGATCTCTAAAACAACTACGTCAAAATAAAGCCATTAAAATTTAGAAATTAACTGATATTGCTGGAGAAGTCAGGCCAGTCACGGAATTTTCTTTTTAAAGGAACCGATGTGGCTTATCAATTGCGACTTTCGATAAGTGGCTCAGACAATTCCATTCCTACAAACTTAGCATTTATATTTTTTGCCTTTAGGCTTCCTTCTCTTTCCTTTCACAGTCGTTAGTAAATCAAGGAAATGTGGTTGTACATTCTCGTTAAAAAACTTCTCCTCTTTCTCTCTCGTATCGAACGTCTTTGCTTTAGCGTTCACCTCGCCTTCTAAATTCAGCTGTGCGTCCTCCAACTTTTGAATGGCGTCCTGAAATTCTCGATAACTTTTACTCTTGGCTGCTTCGGAGTTTCTTCTACCTTCGTTGCTGCGATTATGTTTTCTGGCCTTGTCCATTTTCAGATCGATAGCTTTACCGTTGTTGATAACAATTACACCATCTTCGATTTTAATTTCCGACAGAGACTTAGATAGTTCTTGTGTGTTCTCTAGTGAATCGCTGGATTTTTCCGCAAGGCTGGTTTTCTTTGCAACTGCACGTTCTATGGAAGAAAGGCTGGCCGTGCGTTCGAGAGATCGGCTTGGGTTTCCCGTCGAACTGGCCGTTGTTTTAAACCTGGAAGTCGGCGAGGGTTGTGAACTTCGCCTCACAAGAGGAACCGACTGCGCTTGTACCATAATAGCTGATAAATTTGGAACTTCGGTGCGAAGAAAGTCGTTGACAGGAGTGCTCGGGCAGCTGTACATTCTTTTCCGAAATTTCCCGCGTACGGGAGTTTTTGTCAAGGTTGACTGCACGTGGTCAAAGCTTTCTTCACTTCCTGGACTTCTGGGAGGTGAATATACAAACTTTGTTCCCCATCTTGCTGTACTGGAGTAAGTAAGACAAGGGAAGCTCCTACATTTTTTCTGGGAGTTCAACCTTTCAGCACTTGGACGCAGTTCTTTCAAATCGCACTCACTGACAATCCCAAGGGGGAAAAAACTTCGTTGCCGCCCATAGGTTGGATATTCTGTGTTTGGCTTCGAAGAAACTTGTTCTTCTGGGCTACATGTTTGCGAAGACGACGTAGGAAATTTTTCCGGGCCATAATGAGTTGAGTAATATTTCCAGCGGCTTTTAGTTTGACTTGGATGAGCTGCCATTTGATAACAAAACTATCCCGAATGAATTTGAAGCAATTCACTTCCGCCAAAACGACAACGAAGATGGAAAAGCCGGCAACTTGCATTCACAGACTTTCCCAGTCCAATACAAAGCTCAGCTCGAGATGTTATGATTTAAAACGATTTGTTATAATAACCGCCCATGGATGGCCACTTATATCTCGAAAAGCAGGTCATCAAGGCGAACAGGCGCCATATCACCTATCATTGGTTTATCACGCTAAACTGCGCCAATTTACAGAGGAACTCAAAACCCTGATAGGCAAGTGGGTTAGCTGTGAACACAAACTTGCACAATGATTCATGCTAAGAGGAAGACTCATTTTAATGTGCTAACTACGACAGGTGGATTTTATTTATTTATTGCTTTATTCCATTCCATGTTTAGAACTCTCCTCCTTTGTTTTTTGTATCCAGTGTTATGCAAGATTTCTTATTACATAACTCTAACACAAACTTAAACTACACTTTCATGACAAAAAAACTGACAAAATAAAATTTCAAAACTTCAAGAGTTGTTAGCATGCAGCGAAGAAAATTAATTTCCTTTCTTCACACTTTCATACGTAAAATTATTATTTTTTTATTTTTCTTCACCTTTTTTAACGCTTACACTTCCTAATAAGACGAAACCAGGTTTGTTTCCAATATTTTCCATCTCATTACCGCAAGAAATATTCCTCGACCTTACACCAATTTAATACCTAACGTGAATAGACACCGAGAGTACATTACTAATTTGGATAGTTTATTTATTTGCAGCGCAATCGCGTCAAAGGCACTGTTTAATATTTGATATGAAAATGTAAACCTTGGAGCCTCCAAAATAGGCAATTCTAAATTCGAATCAGTTACCTGCATGATTGAGAGTTCAAAAACTGAATTAGTCTTTCCATCTCGATTCAGCTTTCGCATTATATTCCGTTCACGTAAGTCAATAAAAATTGACAGAAACTTAACTGTTCAAACATTTTAATTTGTTTATCATGTATAATGGAAAGAAACTAAATAGTGAACATTTTAGTTGCTACTTTCAGAGCCAAGCGAACGCTTGAAAAAGTGCCGAAATAAACAAGATGCATCAATAGAGAAATCCATTAATGTAAAATATTTATAACGAAGGGATTCAGTCTGAAAACCAACCCACACTGAACAATCAAACTAATTCTTGACATGTCATTTGCAGCCGCAAAATGGTTTTATATAATTGAGAAACTAGGAGCGCGCTGATTGGTCAAAAACATATCTCAAAACATATCGTTTGTTGCACCGGTAAACCAGTAGAATATCGAAGTTTATTTTATCAAAGCAATAGACTGCACATTCTATCGATTAACCAGCGTTAGGTGTTGGGGGAAGTCTGTAAATCACTCGCCTTAGGCTGTGTGGTCTATATTGCTTAATTGGGAAACTGCTGAGAAGTTTCATAATTCTTGTTTTGCTTTTGGCAATTAACAGCAGCTCACGCAATGTTAAAACAAATTGTGAAATTAACCAAAAAAAGTTTTCTTTTGCGGTGTGACCAATACAGCTTCTCTTTTCTTTTAAAAAGTTCCTGTCTGAACTTTTACAGCAGTTCAACGAGACTTCGTTGACAATGCAGGTGACAAAAACGGCTTTTTCGTTTCAAAAGACTTATCTTAAAGGAGTTTATCTGTAGGCGTGTTCTTGGCCCATTTTCCTGAATATCGCGCGCTAGCTGCTCGCTGTTGCATGTAAGTGGGCACCAGTCCTAACGGAGTCGATAAGCAGGAAACGTAGCTTTTTATTCATTATTTTTTAACTATTCCATCGAACTTGTATGACAGAAAATTTATCTATTCGAAAACGACATTTTTCATTGGTACTTACTAGGTTTAATTGTTAAAAAAGTCAATTTTTTAAATTTTAAAAATTCCCTCTGTGTTCGATCTCCACATTAAACACACAATCTAGATGTGGTGTAATCTCGTACCCAGTTCCTACCGTGTGGCTGAAACCGAAATCTTACAACTGATTGGCCGTGGTAAGTCTGGGTACGAAAAAAATATGGTGCACTTCTAAAGCTTTGAATGGCTAAGCTAAGCGTTCTTGGCTGGCCCGAAGCAGTACAGGCTGAATTTTGCCGCTCTATTCCAATCCACCAGTCCAAGGCTTTGAGTTTAAGCCCCACGTTCCGTAAATTAAAGGACGTTTATCTCAGAACGTCCCTTATTCCTGCTCCACTAACTTTTGAGCCTTAATTCTTGTCAGAATGATTAAAGCCCTCTTCTTTACATTCTCGTTTTCGTGAGCTGTGAGATTGTCCAGCGCCTTGCCCAATCCAGCTATTTCCAGATCTCGTCGAAAGTATTCTGTAAGGGTAAAAACAAGTTGATTTAGTTGACTTTGCAAACTTAGCTTCTTGGTAAACAAAGTAAAATTCAAACTAAATTCTCAACATTCTTTGGCGTAAATAAAAGGAGCATAAGTGCGCCTAGAAAAGAAATCCAAAAATTTCGGCTAAACGATGCGTTTGAAAACGCACCGAAGATTGTTGCATTGTAGGGTAATATAACACATCTTGCGAACCTTTAAGTGAAAACGACTCCAAGACAGCCATGGCGTTGTAGCATGACTGTGGATTCACTTCTTTGGTTTTAATGAGTTTCATCAGCGTTTGAATAACACCACTGTCTCTGAATTTAGGGTAATAGCTTTCTGTAAAAAAAAAACAAAACAAAAACATATAAAAACAAAAATAAGTGAAAAATGAAGGAGGTGGACTTGGGTAAGATAAGGGCTAGGACTCTTGTTAGCAGGGAAAATAGGATTGCTTGCGATCAGTTCCTTAATAGTACCGCAGCAGGATGAGCGTTTCTCCGCCCGCACGAAGATCTGGGGCGAGTCGAGAAAGGTCTACTGGGGATAAGACCATTTGAAGACCTCTCTGGCTAACGTTGCTCAAGACCTCAAACGTACTCGAGGGCCAAGAAACGCTTGTACTAAAGTGCTAATGATAAGAGTACAAAAATACGGCTAAAAATACGTTGGCTGTACACTTCTTCACTTTGTAGCTCTTGGAATTTGATAGGAGATCGAAAATAGTTTGCAACAGATGGTTCAAGAATGCGTAATGATAATGTGAGGAAACCTACAACACTCGACAAACTATGAAAAGGACAGAAATTCGCACCATCCACAGTTGTTGACATCACCGCCAAAGCAATCAGCGCTTCGTTCTGCATGATGGGATGTTCCGACGTTACCATGGTTACGATAGGAGCCAGTCCTCCGCCTTTTATTATTTGTTGTGACACCTCTGCAGTGTTGAAGGGAAAGACAGAATGGTATTAGAGATTATACCGGCAAAATGCAGGACGTATAACTGGTTGAGGGCCACATATGAAAACATGATGTTTATGGTGTGGCGCAACTTTTACTTGAGCGTCGAAAAAGCCCGATTTTCCGTTAAATTAAATTCCAAAACGGTACTCATATTCCCCACGGTATCAACGAGCGCTTTTCATTCAACTAATTAATTCTTGTTTTCTCGTCACCATATCCCCACCAATAGCGTAGCCCCATTTTCTGCATAGAAACATGCACACAACCCACATTTCCTCCAATCGCTCTGACGATGGGCTAACGCTCGAAAACGTCAGCTTTTAAACTCTTTACGGTGGCCAATTTACGTTATCAATTCAGCTGATAATACTAGGTTACCCGCATTAGTGTTGAGAACTTACCCCACTCTTTCAACCAATCAGATCCAGGATCGCGACTCGGTCAATCGCATTTTCACGCGTTTCAGGCAATTCACGTTTATTTACTTGATTCATTTGGATCATGTGATACTTTTAATTCCGCTAATTGGCCGCTCCGATTTCTTTGATTTTACGCCTCACAATCGAATTGGGATTTTGATTACTTGTTCGAAGAACCGACCGGTGTGTGGAAGAACACTGATTCTTGTTTTATCCCTTGGGAATAACTGTGGTCCAAACCCTAACCCTAACTCACCTGCCGTTCTGGCCTGTTTTGCCATCATCGCCAACATTCTGCTAGCTTCTGCTTTGACTCCCTCGTGACCACTGGAGTCACAACATCGGACTAAAGTACTAAGGTGGTCTTTACTGCAAATGATCTTATTGGCCGCTTCAGCTGTAACGCAAAAAAAAAAATGTCACGATCTGTCTCCACTAATATCGTTTTAATGCTAACTGCATTTGCTGTAAAAATTCCTGATGGGAAGTTTTTCTAATTGGCCTTACCTAGATCAATATCAGTACCTGGGCAACTGCCACCTATCCCTCCCCTAACCCAACATTAACACTGACTTGTTATCAATTGACTGTTGTTAAGCTAGGGGAGGGGTAGGTGGGCAGTTGCCCAGATACTGATATTGATCCCCTTGCTTTATTCAAATTTAAATTCAGTTACGCACACACCCAAAAATAGTAAACATGGATGTAAAATACTGACTCTAGACGAGGTTTTCACATGTTGCAAGGTTACGAGCTGAGACATACGGGGGGAGGGGGAATTTATGATTTCAAAAAGTGCTCGTTGTACTTGAGCGCAACTACACGGACACTGCTTCACGTGGACAGAGCGTGGGTGTACACATGACGTCCACGTTGCATGACATCGGCGTATGTCACGTACCTGATTAATTTACGCATGCTCAGAAGAATACCATGCTAATGCAAGAAGACTGACTTAAAAGGAAGGAAAGTGAACATGTGCTTTGTTTTGAGTTCTTACCGTGTCCCATCAAGAGCATGCGCAATGTGCCAAGAACTTTGAACTGGACGAAAGGGGACTGGTTCGTGAGAAGAGGCAAAATTACATCCAGGCAGCCACTATCAACGAGTTTAGACTTGTTCACAGCTACAGTAAAAAAGAAACAAAAAATATAAAAACAGTTTGAGTGTTGGACCAAGATTATAACGGTTAAAATAGAGTGACACCAATAAAATGTGGAAATTGAAATCTGTTAGCTTGCGTATAGGTCATGTCGGTCAAAATGTTTTAATCTCATAACAGCCTACAGGCATGACATTCAGCTAACTGTTTTATAGATAAAATTGATTCCTTAAAAAGCAAAACATTCTCTTTATTCACAAGTAAGATTTTTCAACATTTCTAATTTCGGTTAATTCTTTTAGTTGACACAGAAGTAATCTCCTTTGCAGTCGTTCTTTAGAATGTCACGTATCGGAAGCGTTGTTAAAATAATCCTCACGTCTTACAAATGTGCCTTTTGTTGAAAAAAATAAATGTTAAATTTACCTGGCATTGCAAGATTCTTTAGCGCACTAAAAACAGCTTGTAGCTGTCTTCCCATGTTCTAAGAAAAAAAGGAGAGAAAAAAACCAACAAATAAACAAAAAAAACAATAACATTACCGATCACTTTACGTTAATAGAGAAAAGTTTTGTAAAGATTCCTTCCTAAATAGGAATAGAGCCCATGCCTCCCACATACCGCTTTGGCAGCTCTGTACTGTGCTTCACAGGGGCATGGATAGGAGAGATTCTGAAGTGTCTTTGCCCAACGTCCCCCCGCCTCCCCTCTCCCATCTCCCCTTTAAGTTAATGACATAAAAATCTTAAAATTCATAGGTTCTGGAGCGTCTTTGCCTCAACACCCCTCCCCTTTAAGTCAATAACATAAATCATAAAATTGAGACGTTACTTTGTATTATTACCTCTCTGTGAGAACTCCGTGCTAGCAAATTTAGTAATTTTTCATGGACTCCTTGTTCCACAAGTTTGATACAATTTTCATCTGTGGGGTGTAATTTGTAAAGGTTAAGATCACAATTAAATATCACAATATGATCCTCAGCCCAGCCCAGCTCAGCCCAGCCCACACCACCCCACCCCTCATTGCATGAGTTTTGGTGCCAGAAAAGTAGTGAAAAAAACCCAAAGTTCTAGTTGGGGTCTTCAAAATCCCCAGACCCCTGCCCCCTCCCTTGGATCTGTCACTGAATCATCAGAGATGAACTCACTGAAAAAGTCATGTAAGAAATTCTTTTACAATGTGCTGCTATTTGAGACCCTTACCTGTTCGTCCAAAGTTTCCAATAGCAAGGCAACCAGAAATTTGCAAATGCTCATCCCCTGAGGAAAGCCAAGACACACAGGTCTTATAGACAGAACCATTGCCATCACTGAAGAGTCCTTTCATACTATCATCTGTAAATAGAAGACATTTGTCAATTTGGCTTCAGTTTAAGGAATAAATGAACTATAAAACAACATAGGTGTACCCACTCAAAGGGGAAGTATAGTTTCATTTCTTAACCCTTTAAGACATGCCAGTGACCAAGAAAGAATTTCTCCTTACACTATCAGTACAATATCAAGCAGACAAGTGATGAGAATAAAGAAAAACATCCATTAGAGGATTATTTGTTGATCCAATTCCAAATTCTCCAAACTAACATCATACAAATTGTACAGGAAACAGGAAGGAGAATTACTAATGAGATCTTGGGAGTTAAAGGGTTGATGAAGCCCTGAACCTCTTGACAACTTTTCCCCCCAGGAAATACTTGTTCGCAAAAAGTTCCAATTGCAAAATAAAAACAAGAACAACAATAAATAACTTAAGACGTATAAAAATTAAGTACTGACCTTCAGTAAGCAGCATCACTATCATGTCAGCTGCAGACTGTGTTCTTTGCTTCAAAATCTCATCTCCTGTTGCATCTTTGCAAGTTGACACCACATTAGCCAACTGTTCTGCAAATCCTTCTTGGACCAGCACCTTCTTCACATTGTCTAGAGGAAAATTACTTTTAATTAAAAAATATCTCAACAATTTGCTTTTGAAATATCACTATTTTGTATAAGGAAGTAAAGGTCATGGGTCATGACACAGGATACCTGTGGCAGACCACCTTACAAGTACAAATTTGCTTGAGTGTTGTTGTAGTCAGATATGGAAATTAGCCATATTGAAGTTAAGCCCTATTGGCAAGGGTTACTACTTGGATGGGTGACTGCACATAAAATTCCACATTTCTAACTTTCTTATTTTTTTTTCCTTTTTATTCAATTTTTTTTATAGCCTCTTTTGGCTTGTCACAAAAAAAGCTAACATGACAGGCCAAAAGAAGGTCAACCTAGGAGGCTAATACGGAGTCAAAATTAAATTTATTATTTTCCAAGTATAACCTGAGTGACTGAAGGTAACAAACAACCCAGCCCACATTGACCCCAACCCCCTCCCCGAAGCGTCTTGTTTAATTTAAAGCTACACTCACCATCTGTGATGAGAGAAGTGAATATTTCAAGCACAGAGTCAACCAATTCATCATCATCAGACTCTTGCATCACCTTTGATAAAGTAGCCACGCCCTCACTCTCTGTAAAGCTCTCTTTTCCTTTCTCTGTTAGTTCATATGTAAACAACACTATATAGTTAAATCCTTATCATCAAAATAAGGCCAAAAGAGAGAGCAAACCAAATATGAGCCAATAAATCACTGTCAGTAGCTTTGCAGTTTAATCCAATTACAACAAAGCAAATAAATGTAAAGAGAGAATTACCAAAAAAATCTGCAAATTAGCCATGTCATTTGCCTCATTTGCATGAATCATATGCCTTTTTGCTGGGTTACATTCTTACCAGAAAAGCCAAGCCAAACAAACAAAATCTATTATCTAGCAGCGTAATCCATTAACCTTTATCTTCCATGAGTGACCAAGACAGAATTTCTCATTACAATATTAATACAATATCAACCAGATGAGTGATGAGAATAAAGAAAAATATTGATTGGGAATAATTAGTTGATTCACTACTAAATTCTCTGAACTAACATAAAAATTGTATGGCTGACAGTAAGGAGAATTACAAATCTGATCTTAGAGTTAAAGGGTTACCTCTAGGACTAACAAGCTGAGAAGGAGAATGTGTTTAAAAATCAAATGCCAGTTATTTACACAAGGTCTAACCCAAACTGCACTCCTCTGGTATTCTCTGTAAAAGGGTTGATTACAAAAAATGTCTTTCCACTATCAGCTTTTGTCCTTGGTCACAAAAATAGATGTGCAGTGAAAAAGGGTCGGCTAAACTGAAGGTGGCTTAGAATGCAGTTTTGTTCAACAACAGCTAAACTTTGTTTTAATAACCAGCCACAAGTCGAGTTTCTTTAGTTTGTGATAATTTCCTATATTCTCACAACCTTAATTTGTGATTCAGGGTGATATTATAAGGAGAAATTAGATTCAAGTTACTCTTAGAGGTCAAAGGGTTAAGAGTTCAGTAACTTGTTCCATTACCTGAACATATGAGCACAGACACAGCTGATAGTGCCATCTGACAGAGAGCTGGGTTGCAATGGAGACTCTGTTTAATAAAGCTCAATAAAAATGGCACTGCCCCAAATGAAACTGCTTCTGCTGTTAGTGCTTCTGCAACAGTAAGTTAAGTCAATATCCAACTTCAATACTGAGATGATATACAAACATCTGTAACTAGGTTAGGTTGTAGTCAAAACTCGTTAAACAGGAGCTTATCACAGTCCCCCCCCCACTCCCTAGATGGGATGCCAGTCTATTGTAAGGTTATCCCCCTCATTGTATCAGGCTTCCCCAACAATACACCAGTACCAATCAATACTCCTGGGAGGAGTCAGAGGTACAGTGAAAGTAAAGCGTTTTGGCAAGAACAAAGCACAAAGACCTGACCAGGTCTTTAACCCAGGCCTTGCAACCAAGCCTCTCAACCAGAAGTCCTGGGCACTAACCACCAGGCCACCACATCTCCCACTCCGTAGACCCTTATAATTGTCTATTTTACAGTTGTGTGCTTGGTTAGCAAGCCTTTGAACAGGAGTGAGGCGAAGGTTGACCATGTAATGATGCAAACCTTGCTGCTTTTCAAATGCAAATTACTTTGTTATCATTTTAACTAGATACTGGTCTCTATCACAACAAGGTCACCTTCAACCTCACTCCAAATCAAAGGCTTGGCAACTAAGTACACTACTATAAAATGGCCTAGTGTGGGAGAATATTGGAGAAATACCATTGTCACTTGCTACATTAAGCATGGATCCACATGCCGCCAACTCAAGTCTGTTGTCACTCTTCTCATCAAAGCTTTTCTCGAGAACTCCTAGCTTCTTTACAATCTTCTCTGCTCCTTTGTTTTCCAGCAAAGTAGCCTTTGCTTGTTCTATAAGAAATACATTAATATCCTCAAGTTAATATTTTCACCTTTTCCCATAACCTCTCTGTTTGTAAAATGTATTAATAATGTTGGGTGAAATTCTTTCTGATCACTCTTGAGAGTGAAAGAGTTAAACCTTTCATAAATTCTCATAATATTGTGGAAGGTTGGGCACAAAACTTGTAGCCTCAAAAGAATTCACATATAAATAGGGAACAGTGTTGTGTCTCTTGGACTCCAAGAGACGAGCATTACTTTCTGCTAACATGCCACTGCCCATCATGACATAACAAGACATAATGACATCATTACTTTGTTGAAGTTAATTATAATCAACTATGAGATTTCTTGATTTCCACTCAATTATCAGAACTTACATACAGAGAAGCAATTGGGAGTTAGAAAAAGAGGATTTTCGCTCAACAACTCAACATTATTCCAAAGCTCCACTAAATAAATGGGAATTTTTTATTCTTCAAAGAAACAAAACTATAAAATGATAATTAAAAGCAAGTTAGAGTGAATTGTGTGCTTCTTGAAATTACAATCCCAAAGTAAGCAATCATTTATCAGCAGTTATTGGTTATTACTAAATTTATTATATGGTATTGGGTCATATTTCTGCCAAACTTCACCTACCATTTTCAGCACTGATATTTCCAAGAGCTCTTAAAGCTTGTAGTAAAATATTTGGATCATCACTTTCAAGATTTGATAAAATGCTAGTTATCAATCCTGCATTTACACAAGGAACTCTTGTTTCTTCTAAAAATAAAAATTGAAACACAACATTTTATCAGGTTCACTCCAGCCAACATTCTCATTTACATGGGCATTTAGTTGTAATCGAAAAACCTCAAGTCAGACATTGACTGACCATCATTTCCGCTATGAAAGCCATGAACCCTTTTCACTACCAAGATCAAAAAACCGTTTCTCCTTAGTAACACCTAACATTCCTTTGCCCACCTCTTCTGAGAGTTTAGTGTTTTATCAAATCCACACACCCTGGTTTAATGATTATTTTCTTCCTCTCATTACCCAGGTGGTCCAAGAACTTTATTATCCAAGAACCTATCCAAGAACACAAAGCAATGACCCAACGGTAAAACTGCGACAGCACATAAACCAGCTTCTCTTCCTCTTTATTTGGACATGGCTCATTCCCTGATCTCTCTCCTAACCCTTTAACTCCCAGTTATGATTAACATGTAACTTCTCTTTATAATATTCATACACTATCTGGCAAACAGGAAATGAGAGCAGTCAAACTTATCAGGCAGAAGTTGTTATCTGAGCTATTACCACATTCTTGTAACTAATTTACAAGGAAGTTTGTAGCAGCAAATGGGGAGAATTAACAATCAGACATTGGGAGTTAAAGGGTTAACTTGACCTATTTCTCTCTGAATTACCTGATTTTGCAATCTCAGCAATAAGCATTAACACCTTTGCTTTGCCTTCAGGTTCATCAACTTCCAGCAATGCGACGACATTGTCAAGGATACGTTTAATTGCTGCCTCATCAAACCTCTCTACAGATAAAATAATTATAACAGAATCACTTTGCAAACAGAACATCAACCCCACCCTACCCCACCCCACAAAGTGGATGCATAGGCGTTGACATTTCAAAACATTCCTAGATAAAAACACACTGACGTTCTCTACTAAAAATTACGCGCTCCGATCGTACGGTTGATAGAACTTTCCATCTCAGCAAAACGGGAAAATTTTCTTACCGTTCTTTTTTTGTAGTGCGCTGAATATGGAATCGACAACTCCCAAATCGAGTTTTTTCGTTTTTCCAACATCAAGTTTGAGCTTCTCGAACAGCTCACATATGTGATTCATTCTAGCGTTTTCTTTATCCCCGTAAAACTTCTACATGGCAAGGCTTGAAAATAAAGGCATTCGAAATGAAAATCTACGAAACAAATAATGAAATATCACACAGATGTACTAGCAAGTACACGGGAAACAGCTTCGACGAAAACGTTCGCTTAACAAGAGGAGTGTGGACATCACAGTTAGACTTACACCACACAAGTTTCCCTCCTAGTCTTGGAGCCCGCAATCAAACGATTTAAACGACGGCCGGATGGTCGGTTGCTATGTAAATTCCTCCCGTTGCTATCTTAGAGGTCACGTCACGACGCGTTCACGGCTTGAGCAGATTTAAGCGTCAAGCTAAAGGGGTTCTTTCAGTCGTTTATTTTACATTGGATAAAGCTTGCCATCCTTCTTTTTTTTCATATTGAATGGCTCTGGCCTTTCACTTATGGCAGAGGTACGCTATCGGCTAACAACGGGTTTACAGAAGCCAACACGTCAACGTAACCGTTGTGATTTCGGTATTTCTAGAGTCCTGGAACTGAGAGAACACTTTTCTCTTAGGGGGCTCCACTGTTAAGGTAAACGCAGAACAAAAAGAAGAAAATAGACCCAAAATACCTGTCCTCCTCCCTAAAAAGTATAATTTTGACCGTTTAGTTGCCAAGCGTGCCATAAATCGAAAGTTGAAAGTGGACTTTGGTCTAAATGGCGTCGTTTTCGCCAATTTCTTCGGAGGAATCCAGGTAAGAAAATGTCATGTAAACTCGATTTTCTCCGTTGATCAGTTTAGGCCGCCATCTTGAATTTCCTCAAGCTCAATGTTGAGTGTTTTATTTCATCTGTAGCCCCGAAGGAGACCGTAAATGTTGCGGGAAAAGTCAAAAATGCAGCAAAGAGACAGGCCATTTGGGCAAATGTGATTCGAAACGACAAGTAAATCGTTTCTAGGAGACATCGCCTATTTTTAACATTCATAAGGAGCGCCAAACGCTCCAAGACAACTTTCGCTAGCTTCAAGTCCAAGAAGATGCTTCATCCAAGAAGGAGCAAGATATCTTGGCTTTACAAAGGGAGACAGATGCTCTAGTAGAGGAATCAGGTTAGTTTCCTACTTGTAAGTGGGTTAGTTGCCGCAAGATAAATGGAATTGATTATTCTTTATTAATTTATTTGCTGTTTTGGAATTTTCATTATTTTGATGATGATTTCCTGTCCATGTTTATAGAAAGAGCGCTGCAAAAATCAAAAGGAGAGAAAGAGACACTAGACAAAGAAATAAGTGAAGCAGAGGAGACACTGAGAGAACTAAAGGAGGCATATGAGAAAGTGAAAAAACTGTTAATAATAATAATAATAATAATAATAATAATAATTTATTACTTATATGGCGCAAACTACATGTGGATATGATCTAATGCGCTATTGGAGCAGAAGGATGATTCCCGAAGACGAAGGGGTGCTGCTAGCACGATTCATGATTACAAGTCGAGCACTAGATACAGGAGAAGGGAAGAAACTAAAAACGTATTAGAATTTATTCATGGGGGTTTTGAAGCTTCATTGTATGGGCATGGGATTTTTTGGCTGCCAATGCAAGTAATGAAAACATGGGCATACTAATGAGTAATTATAAGAGGGGCCGATTTCTTCAGGGTTTTTTTGAGAGAGCCGTTAATGATTATCAGAAGTCAGAAGAAGTACCGCGGTGTTAAGAATCAGAGAGGGAAGGATCGAGCCAACCAAAGCGAGAGCGAGAGGTACATTATACCACATGGCAGAGCCGAATAACGAAATGTTTCGTCACAGGTATGCGGTCAATAGCGCGGTCTCAAGCGCACGGGGTTTTAGATACAGCGAAATAGGGGCTGGCATCTAGACGGCAGAGGCATTTTGTTGTCGTCGAAGGCATTTTCCTATTTTCAGTTTTTTTAAGGAAAAGATGAATTTTTTAAAATTTTTAGAGGGTGTCCAAAGTTTTTGAGGTTCTACTGTAAAAGAAAGCGGCTATGAAACAACGCCTAGAAGCAACAGAATGGAATATCAGACATACAAATGACTCAAACTCCGTTTTCCGCGGAACTTTCCGTGCTCAAGCCTAACGTATGCGCAGACGCTATTCAGCTCTGTTCCACGTGGGTTGGTAATTTTCTCTTAGAGACGACAGCTGAATTCTGCTTTCAGCGTTGCTGCTGATTTGCAAGCAGGCGCTTACAGTCAAGGTAACACCAGTGTCAAAACACACATTAAATACTAGCACCTGAGGGTTGCTTAAGAACCAATAAACATAAAATTCCTCATTCCCTTTAGAAAATATCGAGAAGACTTCCTTGTGCTCGTGTATTAAGGTGGCTCTGCTTGTCATGTCACTGAGTATTACTTGTGCTGATTGTCACACAAATTAAAACTTGTTTCACGCATCTTTCTAGTATCAAATTTTTTGTGGCATATGAAATCGGCTGTAGAGTCATTTATTTGAGTGGGTTGTATTTATTTTGGCAGCTTGCGCTTCTTCTTTAAAGGCTATCCCCGGTATCAAGGTTGTTACATACGATTAAAAGTTCAGTAGCGTGAGTTTTCGATGATACAACAGTGGTTATGGAAAGCGTCATTCGATACTCAAAACCTTGTAACATCAAACACGTTTTTATGCCATCAGGTCGCTTTACTTCACAGGAAGAACTACTCAAGATGACAAATGTATTTATGTCATACTAAAGAGGAAAAATGTAAAGTTTTTTTATGGCAAGGTCGTGGGTCACGGTGGGGTACTTTGAAAATATTCCGTGCATGCGATATCACGCGAATGAAAAAGTTTGAAAGTTTGACCTTACAAGCCAGTGGTGGCTAGTCTAGCTACGGTGGCTTCTCTTCCCTCATGTTTTGTCTTGCAAAATTCTCTCTCGCAGCCGTCAACCTCAGTTTGGGAAGGGAACGTGTTACAAACGATGTTGCAAGAGCATTAATTCTATAGGATCACTTAATACTTCACAGGAAGTATTTCTCGGAATTACAAATAGATTTATCACCTCCTTCTAGCTTAAGGGGAAAAAAATCTAAGGTTTGTTTTCATGCCAAGGCCACGGAAAGGTACCTTTAGAGATATTTTATTGGTGTGATCGATCTCGCGAACATAAAACTTCGCAGCCGTTAGCGTCAGTTTGGGATGAGAACGTGTTTCAGACGAAATAAAAAAACGCATGCAAAGGAGACCGTGAGCGGAAAGAGGAAGACTGAAAGAATAATGTTATGACGGGAAAAAGGAATGATTACCATTTAGGGGAGGGAAAAAAGTAAATTAAGATTCCCTTATTGATTAAAACGAGAAAACAACTTCAAAGAGAAGAGGAAAAAAAATTAAATCATTTTGGAAGGGAATAAAATTAGCGAAGTAGAAAGAACAAACCTAAAATGGAATAAATAAAGAGCTTGAAGATGGATAAAATTGATGCGAATTGAAAATGACCGACCTGAAGTTATTATTTAGCGACCATTAATTAGTCATTAGTTTATCGCGGAGGGGGGGGAGGG